TCCGATTCCCATTGCATAACAGTTGCCCCTACTCCCAATGTGATGCTTTCGATCTCATTGGGAGTATAGCTTTTGTAGTGACCTATCTTGTCATATAGACCCGAGTCGATTGAGTTGTCGTATCATTGTGGGGCTCATGGCACCCTAGTTGCAGTGAGCTGTTTTATCTTCACGGGACACAAGGAAGTGTATGTCAATTTTCCCTTTCCTTGCAAGACCCGATGCAACCTGCCATGCAATTGTCACATCTACAGTAGACCCGTGCTTTGAGATCTCGAGGTGTTGGGTACCGAGCCGAGAAGTCACAAGAGTGTTGGGTACCGTGCCGAGCACACTTCAGTCCGTTGGGTAAAGACCTCTGGACCGAGAACCGTGCTATGAGTTAAGGGCTATTTAAACCCTTTCATCCTCCCCATTTCTTGTCAACCTCCCAACAAGATATTCATCTCTCTGCCCTGCTCTTTGTCGTATTTTCTTTTTTATATGGCTGGCCTTAATTTCGAGTGGATCTCTTCGGATGATGGGTCATCATCACGTCCTTCATCAGAATCTCAGTCATATCGTCCGTTTTGGATGGATAACTCCACTCTTATGGCGAATGACCTGCGTCGCTTGCGTTCGAAATACCGTATCCCGGATTCGGTTAGCCTTCGTCTTCTGAATCCGGGAGAGAGTATTGACGGCTTTTATCTCGGTGAAGTAGTATTTTATGCTGCGATGTTCCAATTTGAAGTTCGCCTACCATTGCCTCTTTTCCTTCAAAACTTTTTAGCTTTTAATCAAATAGCTCCTTTCCAAATCGTCCCGAACGGGTGGTCTACTTTGATCAGTTGCTTTATTTTGTGTTCGTACCTCGGGGGCGAGCAGCCTCTAACCACCGCGGATTTTATGTCGCTTTATTATCTCAAACATAGCCCCGAGGATAACTTTCATTTTTATGTTAGCTCCCGGAACCAAGTTCTTGTTATGGGTCCCTCCTCAGTGAAGTATTGGAAGAACGAATGGTTCTTTGTTGGCGGTGACTGGCTAGCCCGTGATGAGAGAAGGTTGTATTTTCCCGTCCTGACCGAGTGTAGGGATTTGGGTAAGTAGCTTCCGAGCTCCACCGGGACTTTCGCAAATGTCAATTCTGATATTCCTTTTCTTGTTGGCAGTTTCCAGTAATTGTGAGCTTACCGCCGAGGCAACCACTTTCTATCATACCGTTATCCAGCTACCAGATATCGATCGTTGGGGCCCAGATTTGGTTACTGAGCAAAACTTAGTGGATTTTGGCTTGGCCCCTTCCGTGCAACCCTTCAGGTCCTTGTCAAAATCCTCTCTTCACTTTGCATGAACGTCGCTTTTTACCTTTACCTTTATTTGTAGACATGTCGAGACGGAGTGCTTCCTTGTATGAAAAAGAGCGTCGCCGGAATGCCCGGGGTTTGGGGGCCGGCTCTAGTCGGGCTTCGGATATCGAGGTAACTGATTTGACCGAGGAGGGGCTCCCTTCACAACATGCTCGATCTTCCATGCCTCCGACAGCTCCGAGGCGTTTCGCCCGACTTCATGGGACATTTATCCCGTCCTCCCCTCGAGGTCATCCAGGGAGCTTCTCTCAAGTCCCAATCTTCACTTTCTCTGGCCCATATAATGCTGACGCTGACAGGACAGCCTACCTGGAAAGAGCATTTAGTCTCTGGCAAGGCCTCGGCGATTCATCAAGCGGGTCAGACTTTGGTCTGTCAAATCCTCAGCACAGTATCAGCACATGCCTTAGCGGTCTCCACCAGGTGAGTGCTTGGTAACCTCAAGTATTTGTCATAGCATTCTCCCCTAACGTCGAATTTTATCGCTGGCAGACTTTCAACCGTCTGGTGGTATTCTCGGGTCGGGTTGCTGATGAAATTAACTATCTCCGCTGCCATTATGCCCCTCGGGAGGAGCTGGAACAGACCATTTCTTCCTTCAACCAGGCCAACAACCTTCTAGAGGGTACCCAACGTGAGTTGGAAACAAAAAAGAGAAAATCTCGAGACGATCCAGCTAACCTGCAGAGGAGACTTGACGAGGCCAACGCTCGACTCTCTAATTCTGAGTTCTTCGCCGGAGAATTCAAGAAAACTCAGGAGTACGTTGACTTGCAAAACTCTGTCATGGAGTGCGGTGTTTTCTAGTCTCTCCGTCAGGTTTCTACTCAACACCCTGGCATTGACTTTTCCTTCCTCCTGGAGCGTTTTAGGGTCGAGCGTGACGCTCCTGACGACATGGATGACGACCAGGACGAGTAATAGGGTAGCTTGAGCGAGTCATTTTACAGTTGACTTTTATGTGCTTTGTCACCACGTTGCTTGTATTTCTTTTCTTTGGAATCATCAATTAATCCTCTTACCAGTCACTTACTGGCTTACGGCTCTAACTCCGATGGAGTTTTGTTGCTTTCATTTCCGTAGGTTTTTAACCCGTTGGTCATAGCCAATGGTTTTACACCCGCTGTTGTTTTTGCCTTTTACTCCAGGTCAATCGACCCGCTTCTGGTTTGGCCGTGTTGAGATTGTTTAATTGTTCTTTCCAAACGTGTCGATTAAAGTAGATTCATGCTTCGTCGCACGTGATCGACGTCGAGTGGTGGTCGGACCCGAGCCGTGTTCAGTTGAAAATAAGACCTATTGACAAAAATAGGCTATCTCATAAAACCACCGATTAATGTAGATTTGTGCCCGTTCGCAGTTGGTCGATGCCAACAGCGGTCGAACCCGAGCAGTGGTCGGTCCCGAGCCCTGCTCGGCCTGCTCGGCTATAGCTGATTTTACCGTCGCCGTGTAGAGTTGGATTTACCAAGCTTACGTTACGTCGTTGAGTAGTCGTAGTCAGTACCCATTGCCCCCTACTCTCAAGTGTATTGTCGATATCTTTTGAGAGTACGCTTGTAGACGAGGCAAAGTGTTTTATCAAAGTCGCTCAGTATCTCGTTTTGGATTTAAGAGATATAGTTGACAGAGAACCAAACAAATGAATACTTTATTGATCAAGAGAAGTAATAATTAAAAATCTTGCTAAAAGTAGAGAAACAAAAAACAACCACATTTGAAGGAAGAAAGGAAAAGTCAACAGCCCCCCTTAGTAGAAGTCCTGTCGTTGTCTCTCATTGAGGTATAGTAGCATTCCCGCGACACTCATTGTTCTCCTTTAATCTCTCCTACCCTACCTGGTGTTGGGAACTTCATGGACTGGTGATATGTGGATGGTATTGCTTTGAGCATATGCATTGTCGGTCTTCCCAATATTGCGTTGTAGGAGGATGTGTAGTTAACGACCAAAAAGTCCACCATCTTGGTGACGCTCTTCGGCCCACTTCCGAACGTTACATGCAACTCTATCCTCCCTTCGGGAATGACCCGTTCCCCTCCAAATCCTACCAGTGGTGCTGGACTGCTCTTAAGCACCTTTTCTTCTAGATCCATAGCTTTATAGTCTGTCTAGGAGATGATATCCGCCGAGCTGCCCCCATCCACCAAGATTCGATGTACCTTCACATTTGCTATCTTCAAAGTGATAACCAGTGCATCGTTATGAGGGTGAAGGAGGTGAGTCGCTTCGTCCTCTGAAAACTCAATCGTCACCGACCGGTTTGTAGTATACGCATGGTAGACCTCATTTTGCTCGCGACTCGGCCTAGCTTCTCGCACGTCTGCTTTTCTTTTTCTCGCAGATTCTCTTTCTATGGGGCCTCCCATTATAGTTCGAATCTCTCGGGCGGGAGATTTCTCGCTTTCGCCGTTTTGTGTCGCTTTAGGTTCCTCTACATACTCTTGGAGGTAGCCTCTTCGGATTAGTCCTTCTACCTCTTCCTTGAGATCAAAATAATCTTGAGTTGCATGGTTGTGATCCCGGTGGAAAAGGCAATATCGGCCTTTACTTCGCTTAGTTGACGGGACCTTCATCCTCTCCGGCCACTTAAGCAACCTTTGGTCTTTGATCTCCATCAGCACTTGCTCGAGTGGAACGGTGGTCGGGGTATACTTTTCAAATTTTCGGGGTGGATCTTTCTGGCTACTCCGATCCCTCTTCTCCCATCTCGACCCCTGCGGTTTATCTCCCGACCTCTCCCTCTTTTGGTCGGTTCGCTTTCCGTCTGGCTCCCTTTTTGAGTAAAAGAACTCACCAGCGCTCATGTACCTCTGAGCTCGGCTCAGCGTCTCCGAGAAGGTACTTGGTGTTTTCTTTCCGAACGAAAACGACAAATGTTCATCCCTGACGCCGGACATGAAGGCCAGCAGAGATACAACGTCTGTAAGGCTTTCTATCTGCAGCTTCTCCTTGTTGAACCGAGCTACATAGTCGTGCAGACTCTCTGTCGTCCTCTGTTTAATGGTTAAAAGATAGGCCACGGGTCGGCTCCGACACCGTCCCCCTACAAACTGGGTCACGAATGCTCTGGCCAAGCTCTTGAAACTCGAGATTGACCCTCGTTTAATTGTCGAAACCATATTCTGGCCGACCAGTTTAATGTAGTCGAGAATACCCGGCACCTGACCGCTTCCGACACTCCGTAGATATCCATCCATTCCTGATAAGCATCTAGATGATCCACTGGGTCGGTCGTCCCGTCGAATTGTTTCACTGTGGGTAGCTTGAATTTTGGAGGGACCTTCTCTCTCATGATCTCCTCCGTGAATGGTGAGTCGGCTTGATCCAGTAGTTCTTCGAGGTCGAATCC